GCCCCGTCCTGTAATCGTCACACTATACAGCCCCCACAATGAACACTCACGTCCTGTAATCGTCACACTATACAGCCCCCACACTGTACAGCCCCGTCCTGTTATTGTCACACTGTACAGCTCACACTATAAAGCCCCCACATTGTACAGCCCCGTCCTGTAATTGTCACACTATACAGCCCCGTCCTGTAATCGTCATAATGTACAGCCCCGCCCTGTAATTGTCACACTGTACAGCCCCGTCCTGTAATCGTCAATATGTACAGCCCCAGTCTATAATCGCAACAATGAACACTCCCGTCCTGTAATCGTCACACTATACAGCCCCAACACTGTAGAGCCCCGTCCTGTAATCGTCACACTATACAACCCCCACACTGTACAGCCCCGCCCTGTAATTGTCACACTGTACAGTCCCGTCCTGTAATCGTCATAATATACAGCCCCGCCCTGTAATCGTCATAATGTACAGCCCCGTCCTGTAATTGTCACACTGTACAGCCCCGTCCTGTAATCGTAATAATGTACAGCCCCGTCCTGTAATCGTCACAACCTAGTCCAACAGCCTGAAATCGCAACAATGAACACTCCCGTCCTGTAATCGTCACACTATACAGCCCCAAAACACTGTACAGCCCCGTCCTGTTATTGTCACACTGTACAGCTCACACTATAAAGCCCCCACATTGTACAGCCCCGTCCTGTAATTGTCACACTGTACAGTCCCGTCCTGTAATCGTCATAATGTACAGCCCCGTCCTGTAATCGTCACACTATACAGCCCCCACACTGTACAGCCCCGTCCAGTAATCGTCATAATGTACAGCCCCGTCCTGTAATTGTCACACTGTACAGCCCCGTCCTGTAATCGTCAATATGTACAGCCCTGTCCTGTTAACGTCACAAGCAAATCCCAGTCCATAATCGCCACAATGAACACTACTGTCATGTAATCGTCACACTATACAGGCTCCCAAACTGTACAGCCCCGTCCTGTTATTGTCTCACTGTACAGCCCCGTCCTGTAATCGTCACAAGTTAGTCCCAGTCTTTAATCGTCACAATGATTACTCCCGTCCTGTTATCGTCACACTATACAGCCCCCACACTGTACAGCCCCGTCCTGTTATTGTCACACTGGACAGCCCCATCCTGTAATTGTCACACTGTACAACCCAGTCCTGTAATCGTCATAATGTACAGCCCCATCCTGTAATCGTCACAAGCTAGTACCAGTCTATAATCGCCACAATGAACACTCCCGTCCTGTTATCGTCAAACTATACAGCCCCCATACTGTACATTCCCGTCCCGTAATCGTCATACTGTATAGTCCCGTCCTGTATAGTCCAAACCTGTAATCGTCACACTATACAGCCCCCACACTGTACAGCCCCGTCCTGTTATTGTCACACTGTACAGCCCCGTGCGCTAATCCTCACACTATACTGCCCCCACACTTTACAGTCCCGTCCTGTAATTGTCACACTGTACAGTCCCGTCCTGTAATCGTCATAATGTACAGCTTTGTCCTGTAATCGCCACACAATACAGCCCCCACACTGTACAGCCCCGTCCTGTTATTGTCACACTGTACAGCCCCGTGCGCTAATCCTCACACTATACTGCCCCCACACTTTACAGTCCCGTCCTGTAATTGTCACACTGTACAGCCCCGTCCAGTAATCATCATAATGTACAGCCCTGTCCTGTAATCGTCACAAGCTAGTCCCAGTCTATTATCGCCACAATGAACACTCCCGTCCTGTAATCGTCACTATACAGCCCCCACTCTGTACAGCCCCGTCCTGTAATCGTCATAATGTACAGCCCCGTCCTGTAATCGTCACAAGCTAGTCCCACAGTCTGAAATCGCAACAATGAACACTCCTGTCCTGTAATCGTCACACTATACAGCCCCCACACTGTACAGCCCTGTCCTGTAATCGTCAAACTAAACAGCCCCCAAACTGTACAGCCCCGTCCTGTAATTGTCACACTGTACACCCCGTCCTGTAACATGGAGTCACGGTGGCGGGCAAAAAATACACCACCGCGAAACGTTGGAATCGTATGCCTCCACGCGGTGTGTAGTGTATGAATTTTAAAGATGTTAGTTTAAGTGTTGGGTTAGAGTACTAATTGCGGTTGAAAGTTTGCATTCAATGAATAAAAAACCGTTTCGGGTGATGTATGTCATTAATTAGCAATGTAAGGGTTATACTTTTTGTCTACCGCAACTGTTATTTATATATTTATGATGGACCACTTCCATTGCGACGTGGCAGGAAGTCCAAGCAAGGTCTTGATCGTCTGTGGGGAAGACACTTTTCTTTCCATAGTGTGTCAAAATTCAACGAATGTGTAGGACGCAATCCAAAGGGAAAAAAAATGTAATGGTCACAAAAGAAAAACAAAAGGCCTATCGGCCTTATATCTCAACTGAACAACAGGTCGGATGATTATTACTTAACTTGTGACCACTGACACTAGGACTCATACTTATACTTATTAAACACTGTTTAACATGTCTATCTTGTGACCACTGACACTAGGACTTATAGTTATAAAACATTGTACAATATGAATTTTGAAGTATGATGACTAACTCATTTTAAAGATGTTAGTTTAAGTGTTAGGTTAGAGTACTAATTGCGGTTGATAATTTGCATTCAATGAATGAAGAACCGTTTCGGGATATGTATGTCATTAATTAGCAATGTAAGGGTTATACTTTTTTCATCTTACTGGTGTCTACCGCAATTGTTATTTATAAAACATTGTACATAGGGAATGGCAAACTATTCCAAAATGAAGTAGTACAACCCTTATTACTGGAAATCTCTGATGGACCACGTCCATTGCGACGTGGCAGGAAGTCCAAGCAAGGTCTGGATCGTCTGTAGGGAAGACACTTCCCTCCCCATAATGTGTCCAAATTCAACCCGAGGAATCGTCTTCATCAATAATGTGTAGGATGCAATACAAAGGCAAAACAGGTCGTGTGATTATTACTCTAAACCTAAAGCAACATATTACATGTAAGTATTTGAATTTTCTTTTAAATTCTTTATGATATATTACAATATGTAGTCAGAGTAATACATATACTTATGGTCATTTAATCCTTTCTTTGGAAATTACTATTTGTGGCTATTGCAAATTTGTTAAGGGTCATATGTCAAATTGCAGATATGATTACACAGCAGGTATATGTTAATGATCAATATATAGGTCACAGGTCAAATAAGTCACCAGTTTCAATCAATTAATAATGTTTACTTTTCATTTGACGTTTTATTACAATGTCAAGCTATGTCAAAGGTCATTGTATAAGTCACCAAAGGTCATAAGGGTCAAATACTTTTTAGTAAGTCATCAATGTCAATCAATATTGTATACTGTTCATATGCACATCTTATTTCCCTGGGTATGACCCCTAACAGCAAAAACTCGCCTGTTTACACCTATAATGTACATGAAACTTGAGGGAAAATTACATAAGATTTTCCACCATTTAGATGATGAGACATTGGGATCATTGGGATCATTTAGAGAGTGTTCTAAATTTTGTATATATCGATCTTTGGCTTCATTTCTGATGTTCTTAAAATTTGCCCAATGCTCTGGATTATTGGTCTGTATTGATATTTTATAGATTATATTCCTCTGTCTTAGTTTTAACCTTATCTCGTTTGACATCCATGGCATATCATTTGGTCCGATAGTAATTTTCTTTATAGGTATACAGTCATCTATAGCTTTAATTGTAGCATCAACAAGTACAGTATTAAAACCATTTACATCTTGTTATCAATCATTTGATTCATGTTGATAACATCAGCATTATTATACAGGAGATTTTTTTTTAATATGCATGTTGTCTAAATACAGAGTAAGAAACACTGAAGTTGATTACAGAGTGATCACTACAGATTGGAGGAGTTACAATTACATTTTAAACAATAGTATCAATTGAGGAAGAAGAAGTTATTCTTGTAGGATATTTAACATAATTGTACAGATTATATTTTGTTAGAAGTCGTTTTAAACGAGAGTTTGGCTGAAAAAACTGTGAAAACCGTAAAAATATGTTTAGTATTCATTGTATTGGTGATAAAAATGATGTCTCAAATTACCGTCCAATTTCTATTCCTTCATGTTTCAGTAAAATATTAGAAAAAATAATTTTAAATCATTTTTATAATCATTTTCTGGAATTGATATACTCCTGGCGACTCTACTGTTTATCAATTATTATCCATGTATACTTCTATTATACAAAAACTTGACGAAGGACTTGAAATTAGATCAATATTTTGTGATGGAAGCAAGGCATTTGAGCGTGTCTGGCATCCTAGCTTATTATTTAAACTTGAAAAATATGATATTAAAGGAAATGTCCTTAATTGGTTTAAATATTACTTAACTAATCGCAAACATAGAGTGATAACAGAAGGCCTTCTTCTCATCATAATAGGTAAGTGCTGGTGTCCCCCAGGGATCAGTCCTCGGTCCGTTTCTATTTCTGATTGATGTAAATGATATTACTGAATGTATAACAAATGAGAAACGAATATTTGCCGATGATACATCTCTTTTTAAGGTGATACAAACTACTCCACTAGGTGCAGTCAATAGTCTATCCAGTGATCTTAAACATGAAGATATATGGTCTAAGAAATGGCACATCAATTGTAATCCTACTAAAACGGAATCTTTCACTTTTACTCGGAAAAGAAATATAATATCTCCTGATATCATTTTTCGAAATTGAACTGCAGCAAATGTGTCAACAGATCAACATCTTGGTGTATTTTTTTCTGAAGACGGTAAGTGGCATCACCATACCACCTTTATTTATAATAAAGCGTATATACGTATAAATTCATTGAAATCCGTAACAAGCAAAACTCGGACAACAATATGAATGAAAATGGCCACCATATTGGTGACATTTACTTTATTAATATTAATACAACCACACAAGGGCTCTTAGCATAAAATCAATAATATATGGAAATTATATGAAAAATTAAATAACCCAGTAGCTGCCACCACACACGCATGGCAGCCACTACTAAAAACTATAACAGCTAGCCCAAGTGGGGTTGCCAAAAAACGCCAAACATTGGTCAATGGTGGGGTTGCCAAACCCATCTTTACATGATTACTGCGAGCCGGCTGCCCCAACCCTGTTAATTAGGGGAGGTAGGTTTACCCAATGCTCTGACCAGTCGGCAAGTGTTGTCTCACTTCAACATAAACTTCAGGTTACAAAAATCATACACATCTAATCATAAAATCAATAATATATGGGAAATGATATGCTAGCCCAAGTAGGGTTGCCAAAAAAGGAAGAAATATTGAAGAAAATAAACGACTAATTCAAGATATCCTAGAATACTGATCAAAAATTCCAGTTATAACGCTTAGCAATTATGAAAAAGCATCTGGAGCAAAAATAAATCACCAAAAATCAAAATGTATGTACATAGGTATTTGGAAACAAAGACCACCAAAATATGATAAAATAATATGTGTACAAAATATAAAAGCGCTAGGAATAACTCATGGTTACAATATTAATCAAGACTCACTATGGGAAACTAAAAAACATAGAATAAAAGCAATGATTGCTTTATGGGAAAAACGAAACCTTTCTTTCGAGGAAAAATACTTAATATAAAAACGTAAGACAGCTCGAACATTCATACCCCTAACCCTTACAAAAATTTCTGACAAGGTGTAAATAATCAAAATAATCAAAATGAATACTTCACTCTCTGATAACCAACTCGCAATATGAAGTTAGTCTTGTTTACAGTCGAACTATCACTGAGCTATACTAGTAGGGCTGCTAGCAGCCGTATGGTCACCCCCGCAGGCGAGTTGCAAAAATGATCTATGCCCTCATCACTTTAATTTTGTCCCGGATTTGTTGGGTTGTATAATGCTTGAGGGAGTTGCCCAACTTCTCCCGGATGGCAGACATCCGGAGGCTTGTCCCAATGGCATTCCCAAACCTCTCCCTGAGCTGGCCCTCCTCTGCCGCCGTCCAGCCGGCTCTCCTTTTAGAAGCTGGAAAAGTATAATATTCTCCAGGTAAATACACGGTTGACGCTACAGAAGCAATCACATGATAATTTACATAGTAGAATAAAGGAAGGAATATATTAAATATTTCACATCGCGACAAGAATTTTGACAACATTATATGTATCAACATTGACTGGGAATCCTTAAGCCATTTCATCTACTCGGGGCATAGTACGCTATACCTATACGAAAAGGATAGGGTTAGATAGTACACCGATATGCCTGGACAGGGCATATAAATGACATCATAGGTGAAAAGTATTACCATAAATTGCTGTAGGGTTGGAAGCTGGTGTGGAGTCTTGGGCTAGAAAAGAAAAATAGTCACGAGTTGTAAAGAAAACGACGACACTGCTCCCGTTACATCAAAGATAAATAATTTATTCTTTAAAGGGAACTGTAATCCGTCTCTAACCATAGAATGTTTTCGTCAAGTATACACGCTAGCACCCTTTATTTTTGTGTGCTTTGTAAATATCATCTTCATTGTTTTTGACATCATAGGTGAGAATAATTACCACATAGATCTTCTGGAGCGGCCTCGGAGGTCTCTGTGATGTCTTGCTCTAGAAAGGAACAAATAGTCACAAGGTGGAAATTAACAAACAAATCGACGATACCAATACTGCTCCTGTATATCAGAGATAAATAATTTATTCCATAGAGAAACTGTAATCCGTGTCTAACCGTAAAATGTTTTCGTAAAGTTTACACGCTAGCACCCTCTAACGTTCGTGTGCTTTAAGTATCATATAGGTGAGAATAATTACCACATAGAGCTTCAGAAGCGGCCTCGGAGGTCTCTGTGATGTCTTGTTCTAAAAAGGAACAAATAGTCACAAGGTGTAAATTAACAAACAAATCGACGATACCAATACTGCTACCGTATATCAGAGATACCTTATTTATTCTATAGAGAAACTGTAATCCGTGTCTAACCAAAAATTGTTTTCGTAAGTATATACGCTAGCACCCCCTACCTTTTGTTTGCTTTGTAAAGATAAAAGTTTATGCAGTATGAGAATTCTGTATTTAGTTGAAAAAAAAAGATTACAAAGCCGAAATCTAAGGAAATTCTATGTTTGTTTCGTACGCAACTCAAACGAGTTACCATGAGTCAGAATGTTGTCCCAGGTATACCCACGCAATAATAGCTATGGACAATGTCTCGAATGTATATGAACGTAGCATAACATAGCGACCTACCTGTGTGACCAGGGGAATGAGGGTCTGTTCCACAGATTACCTGGCCTGTTCCTGGCCCGGTTGCGGCTTCTGGCCTTAGAGCTGTCGATCCTCGAGCTAGAAGAGAACGATAGACAAAAGCTGTAAATAAACAAACCGACCTAACCAATCCTGTTCTTGTCACGTCAGAGATAAATAATTGATTCTATAAGGAAACCGTAATCCGGTTCGTTCCTTGAAATATTTTCCAGACTGTGTTGCCATTGGCAGATGCATTCTGGTCCGTCTAAATAATCATATGAATGATCGGGATGGAACAAAGTCAGATAACTCAGAATTAAAGAGTGCCAGTATCCCAACAAAGTAACTTACCAACATTGAGAAAAGAGTAGGCCTCTCTGGCCTGATCCTCCTTCTGCTGGAGAATGTAATACCTCTCCTGTGTAGACTGTGAGTGAGACATATGCCCGGCAACTGTTTTCCTGACAGATTCGGGATATTTGCTGATCTGTGAAGTATAACAACTATTAGTTGTGATTGGCACTATAACAGAAATCCCCCATAAGACCCCTGAAGTAGGAAAAGATCATAAATTTGATTGAAACTTGTCAATATTAAATTTTACCACATCAGTCGTCTCTTTAGGGTAGCCATTGTTGTTTCATCAGAAAATGGACATCACCATTAGTTTTCTAGTTTGCGGCCATTTTTTAAGGAGTAAAATGGAAGTTGCAGTTGTGTTTATAGTGTCACGATACATCAAAATCGAACAATATCTAAAGTTCGACCAATCAGAAATATCCAGTTGGCGGCAATTTTGTTTATTGAACCTCATTGTTTTGTTTCTGATGTCAGAAAACACATGTATGCCAACTCTCCTAACCTTAAGAATCGGACAATATATAAATTTCAACCAATCAGAAGCCCCCCTTTGGCGGCAATTTTGAGTAAAAAAACCTCACAATTGTGTTTCTGAAGTCAGATTTCCCCTATGTTACACTTTATATCAAAATCGGACAATATCTTGTCAAAAGATGTAGATGGGTGTTACGGTCAGATATAAACCTGGTTAATGCCAACAAAATAAAAAGAATCACTAAAATTCAATAATTTATTATAACAATAAATAGCTACAAGTATGCCATAATGTAAAAAATTAAAATAAAAGGCAACGTTACACGATTAGCTCTTACTCTAAATATCAACGATTTCTATATACACCCAGACATTTAGTTTTCTGCTATATAATCCTTGGTTACAAAGTTCAAAGGCAATAAAAACACAGGAACGTTCAAAATACGATCGGCAATTGCGAGGAAATATTGATAATAAATAGATATTTTACCACAGTGGCGGCGAATTGTCGCAGGCTAGTGGCTGACACCGGACGGTCCCAGCCAACTAGCTGCCCACATCTTTCTAGATCTTGGCAGACGGTGGAGCTCGTCATTTGACGCCCACTCGATGTAAGAAAAAAGAACTCCTCCCCTTCGGGGGTCGGCCTCCATCCCTTGAACCGTTCCATGAGCCCCTCGACCTCCCTGTCAACCACGATGTGGGCGTCTCCATATGTTTTTGAAGTTTTATGCGTCTTCACCTTCAAAAAAAGATATACTTGCAGCAACGAGAACATAACACAAAGTAAGCAGCTGTTAGCTGTTTATGGATTGAACCTCTATAAAGACGGTTAAATCAGGTGTCTCAGGTGGGTAAGATCTCAGACAAGAAATGTGTCTGTTGATGATTTCTTCTCTGGTCAAGAAGTGGTTGTTAGGAGGATTGTCTGTAACGGTGCCAATGCTCGGCTCTTTTTGTAAGGCAATTGTTGTATTACGTTTTGGACACAGACACAATGAACAGAGATGGAAAAATGCAGACCTGTACACGTTTGCTGTTCCTTCTTAAAGGGTTAGGGTTACGATGATGCTACTGTTATACTACGGTAATACTACGGTATAACTACGGAAATTGTTCGGGAGTATGACGCAAACGGCATGGTAATGGTAAGCAAATGGTACGGTTATGCTGCTGGTGACGCTTTGAAAATGCTTGGATATTACGAATAATTTATAAGGTTTTTATAAAAAGCGGAATGTGCTTTGATTTTGTAAGATATGACGATACCAGTATTACTTGGAAGTTTCATGCTAGAGTATATGTGGATCAGAATAGTTCCACGTAGACAATGTTAATTTTGAGCAAATGTCAGATTGTAATATTATTATCAAATACAAGTTAATAGAGGTGATTCTTTTAGCGGTTAATATGTACAGTTACAGTGCGATTATGTTTTACGGTAGAATGGTTTGTACTTATTATACATGATCTTATACGTGTGAAGGTGAACAGGTGAAAAGTCGTGACGCCTCGGGGCAGGAGTTAATTTCTTAAACTAAATCTAAAAACAAAGCAGTTACCTTGATAATACTTAATCCATCTTGGGATCGTCTTCCGTCGAATCCCTCAACCATGATGTTCGTGATGGCCCCACACCTCTGGCCGTTTGCAATCAGGAGCATGAATATAAGCATACTTCTGATGGCAATATACTTCTCCTGACAGGGCTCTGGTTCTGTCAAGAGCAGCTCCTGCAGAGAAGCAAAAGCCATCAGGATCTGCTGCACCTTTTCCGCTGGTATGAGGTTGTCTGTACAAATAAATGTTATTGCAGGAGTCATAGATTAAATGTTGAATCATATAAGGACTCACGCAACTAAATCAGCCAATTAA